ATGCAGGAACCTTACCCACCATCCACTTAATTCAAATTCAAGTTAATCCAATCAAAGCTGCTGCAAACTACTCTCATCGCCTGTAGCCCGATCCTATTTGTTCAGTCCATTGTGTTTGACTCTTTAGAATCCCATTTGAGGTTTTCTTAGCAGATACTGGAATGGTTTGCCATTTCCTTCTCAGGCTCATTTTACAGATGAGGAAACTGAGGCAAACCAAGTTAAGTGACTTGTCCAAGGTCACACAGTTAATAAGTATCTGAGGACAGATTTGAACATAGGAAGACGCTATAAGTCCAACAGATTGCAGAGAAGAAATTCCCTCTGCAGTCTACATTTCCAAAGTGGTCATCCACCTTTTGCCTGAAGTCCTCCCGTGAGGAGGACACCGCTACCTGAGGAAGCCTATACCATTTGTGAATAGCTCTGGTGGGTTAGAAAGATATTCCTCAAATTAAGCCTAACCCAGCCTTTTTGCAACTTTCACTTTTTTTTTTCCTAGAGCCAACCAGAACGAGCTTTTTTTCCCTTTTCCATGTGACAGTCCTTCAGATATTTGAATATAATTATCATGCAAATGCACCACCCACCCCCTTCTCTTTTCCAGGCTAAGCATTCCCGGTTCCTTTAACTGTTTTACATATGACATGAACTCAAGGGCCTTCACCATCTCAGTTGCCCTCCTCTGGATACTCTCCAGCTTACCAATGTCCTTAAAATGTGGTTTCCAGAACATAATACTATAGATGTGATCTGGTCATGGAGGAATTTTTATCTCCTTGGTTCTGGACACTGTGCCTTTTAATGTATCCTACATTACTCTAGCAGTGTTAAATCATATAACCACTAGTTCTTTTTCAGATGAACTGTTAAACTGTACTTCCACACTCCTTCCTTGAACATATGAAGTCAATTTTTTGAAATCGAGTGTAAGACTTTATATTTATTCCTATTTCATTTGATCTTACTTGCTTCAGCTCATTGTACTAGCCAGTGAAGATGTTTTAAAATCCTATTATCTAATACATCAGCCATCCTTCCTAGCTTTGTATCATTTACAAATTTAATAAATATGCTTTTTATGTATTTATTTAGATCATTGAAAGGAAAATGTAAATAGTATAGGAATACAAGTACCTGGAACACTCCCCCCACCCCTTGCAAAAAAAAAAAAAATTGGAGAACTTTCTCCATGCTAAACTTAAATTTTTGGATTCAGCCATTTAGCCATTGTCCAGGTCATACCTTTCTATACTTCCTACAAGAATAGAATGAGACACTAAAATTTGTCAACTATGTCTAGAGGATTCCTCTGATCTACCAATCTAGTAACTCTGGCAAAAAAAAAAAAATAAGATTAGTTTGGAATGACTTGCTTTTGATGAAGACATGCTGGATCTTTGTGATTATCACTTTCTTTTCTAGATATTAACCATCCCTTTGATAGTTCCAGAATTTTGCAGTGAATTTAAGTGAAGTTCACTGCCCTACAATTTGAAGACCGCATCATCTTTCCTTTTTGAAATTAGGAATTTGACTTCCTTCAGTCCTCTATTGCCTCTCCCATTCGCTACAAATCATTGAGAAATCAATGACTCAGCAATCACATCTTCCAGTCCTAAAATGTAGTTCATCTTCTTAACAATGATAATGACAATGGTAATAATAATAATATCTAGCATTAGCATAATCCTTTAAGACTTATAAAAGTTTATCTCACTTGATCCTTAAAACCCATTAAGCTAGGTGCTGTTATTTTACAGATGAAGAAATTAATGCTTAGAGAGATTTAATGACTTGCTTCTGGTCCCACGTTAAGTGGGATTATTCTGGAGGCTTCTGATTTCCTCTGTATTTTTTTACTGTTTCATTATTGCTATTTTCTTTCTTTTCTTTTTGGGGGGTATTGTTGTCACTAATCCCCCCCCCTTTGCTATCTTCTCCCCCCAAAAAATCTCACCTGAAACATGTGTATAGTCATTTGCTATATTTTTCCAGAATAAACAGAAGCAGGATTTGAATCTAAATCAGTCAGAAAGTCTTCCTGACTCCGAATGCAACGTTCTATCCACCATACCATGCTGTACTTGTAGGCCTAGTAACCTGAAGTCATCCAGGTCCTTTCTTACTATCTTATTTATCTTCAGTGTTAGCAGAACAGCTGAAAAATTTTTGTCTTCTGTAACTCTAGCCTTGCCTTATTCCAAAAATATTATGGTGAAAATTTGAGGCACTCAAAATACTTGCCTACAGATATTTACTCAGTTCCACAGATTCCCATGTGTTTGAAGCGGATATTTCCAAGAAGACGAACAACCATTTTGAAGAGACTGGGGATCTGGATGCATCCCTGGCCAGGATTGCATCCTAGACTGTAGGAGCAGAGAGCTGAGTTATGGCCAATGGCCACTGCCCAACACTCTAGTGGAGGGCAGAGAGCCTGAAGCATGGGAGTGGAGAAAGGTGCAGTCAAGATGAGATGAGGTTTAAGTGGTGTCATTAGATCATGGAGGGGAGATGGATATAACTGGTCACTAATACCTTTGCCCCATTCTGATTCTGACCAGAAAAGCCACCTGTTGTTTACCAGTCTGAATTCATCCCTATCATTTCTACCCCCATCAATTGGTGGAATAAGTGGAGTGAAAGAAGAGATGAGGCCAATTTTTTTTTCAGTTTAAGCTATAGCACCATGTAGGCAACTTTTAGATGAATTATTTCCTAATTATTTATTTTTGCTAGTTCTGCTATTTAAGTTTGTTATAAAAACACTTGAATGACCAGTAACCTGAACTGGCTTGGTTATTGAATAATGATTTGAGAGGGGAAAAAATGGAGAATTCCATTCCTTAGAGGGATATGAGACATTCTGGGGGAGGAGGGAGAGAATAGGAGCTGGACCCAATAAAAGAGGGTGAATCCCATACCTTTTATGTCTCATAGATCAGGGGTCCTTAAAAGATTTTGTGTCATGGACTCCTTAGCAGTTTGGTAAAACCTATGGATGGACCCTTTCTAGAATAATGTTTTCAAGTGCATAAAATAAAATACATAGGATTACAAAGGAAAACAATTATATTGAATTATGGTTACCAAAATATTAGAAGTTCTAAGCTCATGGATCCCCTAAAATCTATGGGTATCTATGGAACTCAGGTTAAGAACCCTTGCCCTAGGCATGAAAAGAGAGACCCATAAGGTAAAGTGAACTTAAAAAGAAAGTCTATATGATCTGAAGGGGAGGATTGGATCTGCTATTTGAGCCTGAGGAAATTGAGGCTTAGTATTAATTAGTATTGGTACAGCTAGCCGTAAGAGGTTTTGGGCTGCAAAATTGAAGGCTTAAAGGCTCTTCTCAGACAAATTGTTCCCATTGTATAGTTCAAAATCAGACAAGACTCTGACATATGGAACTATGGAAATAACTTTGACAGTTTACTGAGTATTAACATTAAGCAAGCTGTTAAACAACAATAAACATCTGTTAAATTGATTTTGGTTCCCACAAGGAGTTATGTGTTCAGTAGTTTGCCAGTATCATGGAAGCTATCAAAAAAAAAAAAAAAAATTCCCTGTCAGCAGCAAAACTTGACCAGGGCAAATGTTGCTGTTCACAAGTAGCATGGTACTTGTTGCAGTGAACCCTAGAGCACAACAGTCAGACATCTCTCCTGGAAAAATAGAGCAGATGACTATACATGGTTCAGGTGAGATCTTTTTTGGAGGGGAGAATAGGAGTTATGGGGGGATTAGAGATAGCAATACCCACCCCCAAAAGAAAATAAAACAGCAATAATGAAACATTTAAAAAGTACAGAGGAAAGCAGAAACCTCCAGAATAATCTCCTCCTAAAAAAATAGATGGTGAGGCAAAGGGCTAGAGCCCCAGTTCCACTGAACTACCTATCAATTAGCTTTTACAAAATGCTATTTACTTTAAATATATAACAAAATCCCCTGATCAAGAACCGTCAGTAACTATTGTTGTTCAGTCATTTCAGACTCTTTGTGACCCCATTTAATATTTTGGTTTTTTGTTGTTGTTTTTTTTTTTTTGCAAAGATACCAGAGTAGTTTGCCATTTCCTTCTCCAGCTCATTTTCTAGAGGAGGAAACTAAGGCAATCAGTGCTAAGTGACTTGCCCAGGGTTATATGGCTAGCAAGTGTCTGAGGCTGGATTTGAACTCAGGAAGATGAGTGTTCTTGACTCCAGACCTGGCACTCTATCCACTGTGCCAGCTAGCTGCCTCAATTCTCTATTGCCTCTGGGATAAATGACAAATTCCACTGTTCTGCATTTCAATCCATTCACAATCTGGCTCCAGCCTACCTTTCCAGGTATATTGTACATTATTCCCTTTCACACATGCTACACTTCAGTTGAATTAGAACAGAAAGTCAGAACTATTTCAGTTGAAAGGTAAAGCAATATAGTAGAAAGTGGTCTGGAGGGCTAGGTTTGAATCCTGACTTTGATACTCACTAGTTGTATAACCCCAAATAAATTATTTAATACCTCTGAGCCTTTTTTGTCATCTGTAAAATGAAGCTAGTAAAAATACTTTGTAAACCTCAAATAAAAATTTGAGTCTTTCAAACTTGGAATGCATTTTCCCATTAAATCAACATTATTAATGGTAGTTAAAGTTCATAGAGCTCCAATGCTCATAAAGCTCCTGAAGTATAGTATTGATGGTTCCACAGAATTTAATTGACACATGTAATCATGTGTTTATGGACAATGTGTCGAGTCCCAAGTTGAACACCAGAAGCACATTTTCATCCACTACAATGGGACTGGGAACTCTTCCACTTCTTCAGAATATAATCATAATGGTTAACCTTGTTTTAATGGAATTCACCAAACTTGAAGTCACTGGTGATAGCTCCTGTGGCCCAGAGCAAGCATTGCAGCATTGGTGGAGGTAAGGGGGAGAAAAAGTATTGGAACCAGAGGGTGAGGTAGGGAATGAGTTGGGGCAGTTTTAAGGGGGAGGAGATGGGGGGACTCCCTATTGGTGGTGGAACTCCCTATTCCCAAGGAAATTTCTTGCCATTTCCAGTTCTCATTGACTTTTTTCCTTTTATTTGTGGGTCCCACGGATTTATCTGCCTATTTGCAGTTGTTTTCTTCCTTCATTCACTACAGAAGAGTCCTGTAACACAAACCCTGCTCTTCTGTCCTTGAAGCAAACACATAGCCCAATTAGGGTTTATGAATTTTTCTTGAATAAAAATAGATACAGAGGAAAAATCTGCCTCAGGCCACTCCCAAATCTGCTTTTCTAATTTTTTTTTCCCCTACAAAGTCTCGATCTCTAAGGGGAGGAAGGATTGATGATTCATTTATATTTCAAAGGAAAAGTCAGACTCAGGTGATCTTGGGAACTATATAAAGGGGTAAAGCTCTGAAGAAGAGAGCAGAATGCGGACCAGGGCAGGATTAGCAAATGCAACTGGGGATGCTAATTATTCAATCCCTAGGCTTTTCACAAAGCCCTTCTTATTTCATCATAGTTGAAAACTTTCTTGTTCTTCACATCTCTTATGGAACTTTGGATATCTCTTTTGTCCTTAACATATTCTACATTGCATCATACTTACTTATCTGTGTACATATCATAACTGTCTACTCTCCCCACCATGAGACTATAGTCAGAGCCCATGTCATTTTTCAACTTTATATCACCAGAAACTAACATAATGCACATCGTAGACACATAATAAATATTTGTGGAATTGAACTGACTCCACCAATGTTGGGAAGAAAGGTGAAATGCAGTAGGGTTCACCTTTCTCAATACTGATTCTGCCACCTATCCTAGACTTCCTTAGGGAAGGTGAGAAAAGATAGGGCTGAAGTAGGATTCCTAGGTGGCCATCTATATGTAAAGCACATTCTTGAGTCTGGTGTATGTAAATCAGAGACACTTGTACCACTGAAACCTTTCTCACATTCATTATGTTCATAGTCTCTTCAGTAGTTCAGGAAAACCCCAGCCATGCTTCACTTCATTCCATATTCCCCAGCCATCTTTTCAACAGCCTTTAGCACCCTTGACACCCTACATGTACTCCACCTTTGCTCCATTTCTGGAATCACAATCAAATCAACTCTGCCCTTGATACTGAAAGAGGTGTGTGTGCCAATCTACTCCCTAATGCCCCCCCCCCTTGCACACACATTGAGAGCCAAAGTGCTCCATCTTAACCTCTACTCCCCAATGTGTATTGTCCTTCTCTTTTAGAGTGTAAGTTCCTTGAGGTCAAGGATTGTCTTTGCTTTTATATCATCAGTATTTATAGCACAGTAGCTTGTCACATAGTAAGTACTTAAATGCCTTTTCATCTCATTCAATATAAATTTCATGTTATCAAATAAAACAATGTCCAAATGATATATTTTTCACATATTTATGGGAATTCTAGCCAGTATGAATTTTCTGATGGAATATAAGCTGTGAGCATTGATTAAATGCTTTTTTTACGTTCTTTACAATGACAGAACTTTTCTCCAACATGTTTATCTGAAACCCAACTGAAGGCTTTCTGAAAATTTATTACATTTATAGAGTTTTTCTCCACTATGAATTTTATGGTCTTCAGTATGGTGAGGAAGAAGCTTGAGGCTTTCCTACACTCATTATGTTCATAGAGTTTCTCTCCAGTGTAAATTCTCCAATGGAGAATATTTGAATTATAACTAAAAGCTTTTCCATATTCACTATACACAAGGTATCTCTCCATTGCAAACTTGCTGGTCTATAAGGCTTGAGCTGTGAACAAAGGTATTCTCACATTTGTTGCACTTCAGAGGATTCTTTCCAGTGTAAATTTTACAGTGCTGTATGAAGATCTCCTGGAAGGTAAGGACTATCTCACTTTTCTATTTGTACTGCCAGCACCCAGCAAGGTGCCTGGAACATGGTAGGCAATTAATAAAGCTTTTTGAATAATTGATTAAAAGATTTCCCCACATGCATTACATTCATGAGTTTTCTCTCCAATATAAATTCTTTGATGTAGGCTAAATTATAAGTTCTGATTAAAAGCTTAACTACATTAATTATACTGGGATTTCTCTCCCACATAAATTGATTGATGTTAAGTAAAGGTTGAACTCCAGTTAAAGGATGTCCCCCATTTATAATACTTTAAGTTGTTTATTGGGTATGAATTTCTGAAGTTAAGTAAGGTAAGAGTTGAAACCAAAAGCTTTGCCAACTTCAGCACATTTGTATGTTCATGGTTTTTTTTTTTCTCCAGTGTGAATTCACTGATGTTGAATAAGGCTTGAACTTAGACTGAAGGCTTTATTACATCGAAAAAAATCATGGAACTTCTCTCCTGTATGAATCTTTTGATGTTGAGTTAATGGTGAGCTTTGACTGAAGGCTTTCCCACATTCATTACATTTATAAGGCTTCTCTCCTGTATGGATTATTTGATGCTGAATAAGTGTTGAGGCCCGACTAAAAGCTCTCCCACATTCATTGCATTTATAAGGTTTCTCCCCAGTGTGAATTCTCTGATGCAAAATAAGATGTGATTTTAATCCAAAAGCTTTTCCACATTCCTTACACTGATAAGGTTTCTCTCCAGTATGAATTTGTTGATGCTGAATAAGGGTTGAGCTTCGGCTAAAGGTCTTTCCACATTCATTACATTTATAAGGTTTCTCTCCAGTGTGAATTCTCTCATGTAAAAAAAGGTGTGATTTGAGTCCAAAAGCTTCTCCACATTCATCACACTCATAGGGTTTTTCTCCAGTATGAATTCGATGATGTCTATTAAGGTGTGAGCTCTGGCGAAAGGTTTTCCCACATTCATCGCATTTATAAGGTTTCTCGCCCGTATGAATTCTCTTATGAATAATTAAGTCTGAATTGTATTTGAAATTTCTTTCACATGTATCACACTTATGGGCTTCCTCACCAGTATGAATTTGATTATGTCTACTAAGATGTGAGCTCTGGCTAAATGTTTTCCCACATTTATCACATTCATAAGGTTTCTCCCCAGTATGAATTCTCTTATGTACAATTAAATCTGAGTTATATTTGAAATTTTTGCCACAAATGTCACATTTATGGACTTTCTCTTCTATAGTTTTTTTCTGTTGTGTTATGAAGTTTGAGTTCAGCTTTAAGTTTCTACCAAATTCATTACATTCTTTGGCTCTCTCTACCAAGGAGTTTTTCCTGTGGACAATGGTCATTTCTGGGAAATCTCCATCCTGAGAAAGGAATTTCCTCAGTTTCTGCCCAGGTGGATCTTCTTGCTTTCTCTTTAATATGCCTTCATGTGCACAAGGATCCCCAAACTTATATGCCATGGGATCACCTCTTTAGTGTCTTTGTGATATCATCCTCTGAAGTCCTATTTCTTCATAAATTCCCACTTTGGAGTGGACTGCTTATTTTCAGCAACTATTTCAGAATCTGCAAAGATAAAAAGAAAATGTAAACTTTCATGCGATTCCTATGATAGAATAAAGGAAGTTGCTGAAGTGGATAAAAATCACCATAAAAAGTAACGGTTAATAATTTGGAATTATACAAGTCATTAACCTGTTCATATCCTCTGACCTAGTAGCCTTACCACTGTGCATAAATCCTAAAAACATCAAAGACAGGAAGGTCTCATATACGCCAAAATATTTGTAGCAGCATTTTTTTATGGTACCAAAAACACTGGGACAAAATGGTGTTCCCATTGATTAGTGAATGGTTGAACAAATTGCAGTATATGAATGTCATAGAATATTATTACCCCATAAAAAATGACAAATACAAGAAATTCAATAAACCACAAGAAAACTTGTATGAACTGATATAGAGTGAAATGAGAAAAACCAGAATGATGTACAAAATGACTATAATAATTTAAACACAAGGAACACTAAAAGGCAGTTGGACTCAGATTAATTGCAGTGACTAATATCGGTCTCACAAAATAGATGATGAGGTGGCCTAGCCATACCAGGTCTTAAGTTGTATTATAAAGCAGCAATCATCAAAACTACTTGATACTGGCTAAGAAATAGAGTGGTGGATCAGTGGAATAGGTTAGGTACATAAGACATAGTAGTCAATGACTATAGTAATCTACTATTTGATAAACTCAAAGACTCCGGCTTCTGGGATAAGAACTCGCTATTTGACAAAAATTGCTGGGAAAACTGGAAAAAAATATGGCAGAAACATTTTATACTGTATACCAAAATAAAATCAAAATGGGTACACGAGTTAGATGTAAAGGCTGATACTATAAGTCATCTGGGAGAGCAAGGAATAGTTTGCCTGTCAAATTTATGGAGAAGGGAAGAATTTATGGCCAAACAGGGGATAGAAAACATTATGAAATGCAAAATGGATAATTTTGATTACATTAAATTGAAAAGTTTTTGCACAAACAAAGCCAATGCAACCAAGATTAGTAGGGAAGCAGAAAACTGGGAAACAATTTTTACAACCAGTATCTCTGATAAAGACCTCATTTCTAAAATATATAGAGAACTGAGTCAAAGTTAAAAGAATATAAGTCATTCCTCAACTGATAAATGGTCAAAGGATATGAACAGGCAGTTTTCAGATGAAGAAGTTAAAGTTATTTATAGTCATATAAAAAAAATGCTCTAAATCACTATTGATTAGAGAAATGCAAATCAAAACAACTCTGAGGTACCACATCATACCTATCAGATTGGCTAACATGACAAAGCAGGAAAATGATAAATGCTAGAGAAAATGTGGGAAAATTGGAACACTAATGCATTGTTGGTGGAGTTGTGAACTGATCCAACCATTCTAGAGGGCAATTTGGAATATGCTGAAAGGGCTATAAAAATACGCATTCCCTTTGACCCAGCAATACCACTTCTCGGTCCGTATCCCAAAGAGATCATGCAAATGGGGAAAGGACCCACAGTACAAAAATATTTATAGCAGCTCTTTTTGTGGTGGCCATGAACTGGAAATTGAGGGGATGCCCATCATTTGGGGAATGGCTGAACAAGTTGTGGTATATGAATGTAATGGAATACTATTGTGCTAAAAGAAATGATGAGGGGCAGCTAGGTGGCGCAGTGGATAGAGCACCGGCCCTGAAGTCAGGAGGACCTGAGTTCAAATCCGGCCTCAGACACATGACATTTACTAGCTGTGTGACCCTGGGCAAGTCACTTAACCCTGATTACCTCACCAAAAAAAAAAAAAAGAAGAAAGAAATGATGAGTAGGCAGACTTCAGAAAAACCTGGAAAGACTTGAATGAACTTATGCTGAGTGAAATGAGCAGAACCAGGAGAACATTGTACACGGTAACAGCCACATTGTGTGATGACTAACTTTTATAGACTTGGCTCTTCTCAGCAATGCAAGAATCCAAGACGACTCCAAAGGACTTGAGATGGAAAATGTTATCCACATCCAGAAAAAGACCTATGGAGTCTGAATGCAGATCAAAGCATATTATTTGCTCTCTTTTTTTCTTTTTTTTTTTGTTTCTTCTTTCTTGTGGTTTCTCCCATTGGCTCCAATTCTTCTTTACAACATGACTAATGTGAAAATAGGTTCAATATGAATGTATATGTAGAGCCTATATCAAATTGCATGATGTCTTGGGGTAGGGGAAAGGCAGAAATGGGGAGAAAATTTGGAACTCAAAATCTTATGGAAATGAATGTTGAAAACTAAAAATAAATAAAAGAAAAAAAGAAAACAGATGATGAAATACATTTTCCTCTTTTTGGTAGAGAAATGGGGACTACAGAAGCAAAATATTATATATGTTGTTGACAGTACCTGTGTCAGTTGGTTTTGCTTAACATCTTATTTGTTGTTGTTGTTAATGGCAAGGGAAATGGCTATTATTAATAAAAATGGTGAGGTTGAGGGAGTAATAGTTATTTTTAAAAAGTATGTAGTTTTGATATCTGCAGAATTGGTGTTGAATAGCCGGAAATGAAAGGAGGAAAAGTCAACAGGAGACTGAAGTGGTTTCTCTCGCTCAGTCTTGATTCTTCCTGGCCTAGGTGACACAGGCTCCTTGGGTTGCTTAAGGAGACAATATGATATGGTAGAAAGAATGCTGTTCTGAGAGTCAAGCAATTTAGGTTCCAATCTCAATTCTGTCATTGATTTTCCATGTGACCTTACCAAGGGTGGGGAACCTGCGGCCTCGAGGCCACATGTGGCCCTCTAGGTGCTCAAGTGTGGCCATTTGACTGAATCTACACTTTGATTGAGGACCTAGAGGGCCACATGTGGTCTCGAGGCTGCAGGTTCCCCACCCCTGCTAGGCAATTCACTTGACCTTTTTATTCAGTAGTTTCCTATTTGTAAAATGAGAGGGTTGCACCAAATGGTCCCTGAGGTCTCTTACATTCAGTTTTTGTTTTATTTTTATTATTATTATTTTATTTTTTTGGTGAGGTAATCAGGGTTAAGTGACTTGCCCAGGGTCACACAGCTAGTGAGTATCATGTGTCTGAGGCTGGATTTGAGCTCAGGTCCTCCTGACTCTAGGGCCAGTGCTCTATACACTGCGCCACCTAGTTGCACCTTTTACCTTCAGTTTTAAAAGCATATAGTAAATATATGTGGATGCTTAGGATGCTGTTATAGGTACAGTCTGATGGGTGATTGTGTGCGTCTAGAGAGGCCCTCAAACAGGGAAGTTGTGACTGCTCTGTGATTAAAATCTCCAGACAGTTGTACTGAGAGGTTAGGACAAGGGTGGGGAACCTGCCCAGTGCCATACAGACAGTATGACTCAGAGGTCGAAATTGGTCTCTGGATCTCTTGACCCCAAAAGGTCCCTGTCCTGACAAAGTGGGAGGGGAACCTGGCCAAGGCCACTGCAGAGGCCTCTCCTTCTGTCTCCCTTCTTCCCCCTTTCCTCCCAGCAGTTCCTCTTCAGGGGTTTTACTGGAAAACCACACTTGCTCCAACCACTTGAATTTCCTCAGCCCTTTGGAACAGAATTCTTGTCTGATAGTTTTCAAGTACTTTTATATTTAGTCTAAGTTCTATGATTGGTTGATTGATCGAGACATGTTCTCTAATTAATATATCATGACTAAAATGGGGTGGGGCAGTAGATAGGGGACTGAGCTGGGAATCAAGAAGACACTTACTAGCTATGTAATCTTGGGCAAGGCACTTCACCCTGTTTGCCTCGGTTTCCTCATCTGTAAAATGAGCTGGAGAAGAAAATGGCAAACCACTCCAGTGTCTTTGCCAAGAAAATCCCAAATGCGGTCACTAAGAGTAGGACGTGAGTGAAACAACTCAACAACAATAACAAAATGGGGTGGGGTGTTTTTAAATCCACTCTTACATATAAATTCTTGATTTTTGCCTTCAAATCTTTCCCAGTATTAATACTGTTCTTTGTGTATTTCATATTCTCTATTTCCCTGTTCTTGTCCTGCCTTCTCCCATAACAATAATCATAGCTTACATATATATGTATATATATATATATGTATTTGTATATGTACATATGTGTGTATGTATATGGAGAAAGAATGAGCTTACTATGTTCCAGGAACTATGCTAAATGCTTTACAATTATGATTTCATTTGATTTTCACAACAACCTTGGGAGGTAGGTGCTATTATTATGTCTGTTTTACAGATGAGGCAAACAGGGGTTAAGTGACTTGCTCAAGGCCACACAGCTAAACAAGTATCTAAGGACAGATTTGAACTCTGGTCTTCCTGACTCCAGATCTACCACTCTAACCACTTTATTCATACTGCTTCCATCCCTGGAATGGACACCTTTATCTGCTGTAGTTCTTTCCTTCCTTCAAGGTCCAATGCAGGTGCCATCTCATCCAAAAAGGATACTCTCACCAAGTAAAAGTGATCTCTCACTTCTCAGATTTCTCCTGGTATTTTTCTCAGAAATCTCATTTGCACTTATCTCACTCTTCTTTGTCTCAATTATTAACACATTTGTGTTGTCCCCATCCATTAGCTTGTAAGCTCCTTGAAAGCAAGGTCCATGTTGTAACTGTTTCTGGGCCATTCCATGGAACACACTCTCAGTGTCCCTAAACATTTCCAGGGATTCCAAGGACATGGTGACTCATCATTTGGGCCTATTGGGGACGGTGAACTTCCTGGCTGCTTCTAGTCATGTGGTGGCCCAATGGAAAGGACTTTGCCATTTTAGAAGGATGTGGTAAACTACTCCCCATAACTGAAATAGGGGAACAGGGTGCTGAATCTGTTAAAAAAAAATAGCTTCTGGCTTGACCCACAGAAGTAGAGAAGGGCAGCTAGGTGATGCAGTGGATAGAGCACTGGGCCTGGAGTCAGGAAGACCTGATTCAAATCCAGCCTCAGATACTTACTAGCTGTGTGACCCTGGACAAGTCACTTAACCTTGTTTGTCTCAGTTTCTTCATCTGTCAAATGAGCTGGAGAAGG